ACTCATAATTGGATATAATGTAGAAAAAAGATTCATATAGCCAACCTCACATAGTGGGATAAATGCTTAATGTTGTTGTTGTTTCTGCTACACCATTGACAAACTGTTATAGAGGGTGAATGAATATTTTCTTTAAGTTTAGGATGGTTAATTTTACTTGAAAATTTTTAAATTTTTTAAAATTTTAATATTTTCCTGAGATTTGAACACGAAATAATTTATGTTGGGATTTAGGGCATTTTAAAAATCATATTCCCCTTTAGTTGAGATTTTTTTGTCAAAATGACCATCATCGGGCTTGGGTTATTTGCATCATTTTTATTTTTATTTTGAAAGTTTTATTTTTTTTTAAATGAATCCCTATGGTTATGATATATAATAAGGGTGTCCATCATAGGGGTATATGATACGCCTTGGTATAAAAAACAATCAACGAACCAATACAAATTCAGCAAACAACATATTTTTATTGATAAGAAAAGAAATATGAATAAATAAGATATATTGGTCCTCTTTCGAGAGGACCGTCTCTCCCATACCCTAAATACTTTTAGGATTCCTCACAAAAATAGTGGACAACAACACACTAAATTCTGCATTCAAAACATAACATAAAGCCTACTACTTATTACAAACAATAAATAATAAATTTCAAAACAGCCCTTCCCCAATTCCCTCTCAAATCTATCCTTAAATCTGTCTTCTCCAATTAGGAAACATCTCATAATTATTCTTTTCCAAATCAGCCCTCAAATATATTCTTTTTAATTAGGAAATATTTCATAATTAATTCTCTCTAAATCAAAATTCAAATTAGATTTCTTGCCCTAAATAATTCCCTCTTAATTCTAATTAAGATTTTCCTATATACTTCCCCTTTGATTAAGAATCTTCCTAAATAGCTTCCTCTTGATTAGAAAGCTTCCTAATTCCCTCCCTATCAAATCGGCCAGTCCATTAATACTCCCCTCCTAAAGTGCCACCTTGACAAAGAAAATTGCTGCCAAAGCATTTGGCTAATAACATTGGACTGAAAAATATGCTGTCATTGGGTCGAATGATCCCTGCCTCTAGCATCTCATCTCTCAATCTCATCTTTATGGAGTTGGGGAGAACGATATAGATGAAAACTGATATGTGAGACTCCTTTCAAAATGATTGTATACTTGTGTTCCTGCGAAGTAGGCAACCCTTGAACTGGTTGGAACACCTCTCGATGCTTTTGTAGGAGTGGTTGAACCATGTTTGGTGCTTCTATCTTCTCCCCATATTTTTCTCCTTCCAAACGCTGCAGCTCCACCCAAAATCCCACTCCTTCACCCTTTCCCCTCCTTGAAAGTGGCTCCAAATGTGACATCTCGTCTTCTTTCCCCAAAATTTCCACCTCTCGATCCTTCCTCATCGAACTCCTCCCAATCTCCTTCCCTTAGATTGGGCCAAGGTAATCCCGGTCAAATCTTGGTTAGGTTCAACAATTGGAGCCGTCAGTGGAGTTTCAGATTGCATGTCCATGAGCTTCCTTAACATCTCCTCCATCCTTCCCCATCAATTTTCAACATATGTAAACCTTCTCCATGGTTGAGAACTTCTTCTCCACATTGGATTTGATTTGTTCCATCTTCCTTTCCAACGCCTCCATCTTCTTTGCTGCCATAGGTTCCAAAAAAATGCTATGATACCAATTTGATATACCTTTTTATAAAAAAACAGCCGACAAACAAGAAAAAATTCAGCAAACAACAAATTTTTATTGATAAGAAAAGAAATACGAAACAAACAATATATAATGATTATATTTCGAGAGGAGGATCGTCTCTCCCAAACCCTAGACGCCGCTAGGATTCCTCACAAAAACAGTACACAACAAACACTCACAAAATTCCAAATTAAAAAACATAACATAAACCCTTACTACTTATAACAAACAATAAATAATAATTTTCAAAATAGCTTTCCCCCCAATTCCCTCTCAAATCAGCCCCCAAATAAGCCCACAGATTTTCCCTCTACAATTAGGAAACATCTCCTAATTAATCCGCTCCAAATTAGCCCCCAAATATACCCTTTATAATTAGGAAACATCTCCTAATTAATCCCCTTCAAATCAAAATTCAAATTAGATTTCTTGTCCTAAATAATTCTCTCCTAATTCTAATTAAAAATTTCCTAAATAATTCTCTGGTTATTAAGAACCTTCCTAAATAGCTTCCTATTGATTAGAAAACTTCGTAATTCCCTCCCAATCAAATTGGCCAGTCCATTAGTATGGTGTTTGAACTTGATCGCTTTGAATCTTCTCACCTCTATCTCCTTGCTTATAAGGGATCGTGTTTGAAGATTAATTTTACAATCTACCATATATGTGATGATGCGACTTTGAGAGTTTGCATTTGAAAATGAATGTTCTCCTAAGATTCTTTGAAGGATTAAGGCGAGCGTTAAATGAAATATCTTCTTGGATTTTATAGTTGTTTGCTCATTCGTGAATTTTTTTAATTATAACGAGGATATGATTTAAATGGATCTTCCAGCCAGACCTATTTGAAATTTATTGCTTGAACATCTCTCATGAGGTTAAAGTCTTATCAAATCAAGTATTTATGAAGAGAAGGATCAGACTTGAAATATAAAACATATAATATCTTGTCCCACAGGTAATATGATTAGCTTAAAAGTATCATGTAATGATGAGTTTTGTTTTTAAAAGTGTGATTGCAAAACCTTAAGACTTTTTTCATGCTTTTAGAAAGTGGTTACAAGACTCTCATAAAAGGATGTATTTTAGTTTAACTTATTCAGTTTGCGCAATATTTTCTGATTTTGAGTTCGAGTTTTTAGCATGATTTTTAGATCACATGCCAAAAAAAAAAAATGCTTTTGTTGATTTGACGCATCCTGCATGCCTTTTTGAGAAGTTTCATGGCCCATTGTCCTGCAACAATGGTTAACTTTGGTTCTGTTTGGAGAAGCATAGGGGCTACTCCGGCGATCATTCAATAAAGGGTATTGTCGTTTAATACGTGCGAGAGTTACTTGTAGTGATTGATGTGTGCGTCATTTAAATCACTAGTAAAACCTGTGACATGTAATATGTTGGACCATTCTATTTTGTTTGGAAATCATTCATGTGAACAGTAACAGGGCTGGTGCCATGTGAGTTTGTGAGGCAATGAATTTGTGAAATGATGAGGTCTCGAGATGATGGTTTTACAAGCTGGCAAAGTCATGAGGTGGTGAGATCTCGAGGTGGCAAGGTTGTGAGGTTCCAAAGTTGTGAAGGTACAATGTTGCATGGGTTGTCAAGCAAGTTATGATATCGTGAGCGATGAGCATTTCGGTTGGGTTCAATAACTTCTCGACGAAGTTGACGGTAATCATTTTTCTATTTAAAATTGTATGAATTGTCAAACGTCAATGGAAATGGTGTTGAGCTTTTTTTCCAATGTTGTATTGCATGCTTTAGGGGCCTACACATCAATATATGCATCTACATTGCAGCGTCTCTAGGTTGATCTTGGGAAGCAATATATTGAACTGTAATCATCTTTGATACTATCTCTAATAAAATATATATCAATCTCAATGTGTTAACTGTGGGTGTGAAAAAACAGAATTGTTTGTCAAAGCGAGAGCAGAAATATTATTGCAATATAGCAATTTTGAGGAGAAAGAGGGAAAGATAATGGAGCCAATTTTCGCTTCTATCGATGATCAAAATATAGTTGTTTGTTTCCTAACACATTATGAGATAAGAGCTTTGCCTAGGAAGGCATAATAACCTTTGGTTGTTTTTCTAACTTTAGGATCTTTGTCTCGATAGATTGGAATGCCCAGTTGAGTGTGCCTTAAATATACTTGAACAAGCATTTGAGATGTTACTAGTGGACTTCGAGTGGTTTGTGCGTGGATTGACCGAGATGAATAACAAATTTGATGTTTGATCATTTGATAGTAAGGTATTGGAGAGATCCAACTAGTTGATATAGAAAGTGGGGTTGGAGAAGTCAGACTTCAGTGTCTCGGGCCTCTCGGCGGCCGAAATGAATTTTGATTGGATTGAAATTGAAGATACTTTTGCAGTCTTGCATTTGTGAATGCTGCAAGAGGTTCTGTGCATAGTTTGTTTGATCTAGAAGAAGACCATATGATGCTGGGGCAATAGTAAGTCTGAGCCTGAGAAATTGCGAGGCCGTCCAGATATTGCTGATTTGGAATGTCAACGTATTGTATATGAGCAAGTACTTTTTTATTAAATAATACATGTCTGGAGATAAAGCCTTTTATGTGGTAGTGTAGCATGATTGTAGTGATGAGGTATTGCATGAGGTCATTATGAGAACTAGATGGGGCAAAGGTGCATAGAAAGTAGCACTCTGATTTTGTGGGGAGAAGTTATGGAAAAGAAACAATTTTTTATTAAGTAATACATGTTTGGAGATAAAGCCTAAATGCAAGTCATGGCATTTATGACCTTTTTGTGATGGTGCATGATCAAGAAATATGCAATTGGCATACCGAGGGGAAAGCTTATCCGCTGAGTAAGAATGTATCCATTGGAGGCATTGAAATCCAAATATTATTAGGTGAGTGTATGTGAGAGGTTTCTAGATATTATTTTTAACTTCAAGAAATCAAATTTGAGCCTTACTATGATCTGCTTATGATTTGCACAACTCTCACAATCTGATTTGGAGTTCATAGAAATGAACAAGAAATAAAAAGATAAAAACTATATATATATTTTTTTTTGGAAAAAAAGGGATAAGGATATTTTGATCAAATTTTTTAGTTTTGATAAAATTCATTTTGAGATGATTGTAAGTTTTGATTAGTTATTCATGTATTACATTCATCTCAATGCAAATTAATAATTTTGAAATTCATCTTGATCAAATTTTGGCCTAGTTTTTATGATCCAAATTTTTTTTTCTCTTTGATTTGGAAGTTTAAGAACAAGAAGAAAATTATGATTTATATCTAAAAAATTGATTTGTAAGCAGGACCAACATCTTCATCAGCCCACCAGTTGCACCACCTTTAGTGGGAGGTTATGGCTATGGATCTCCATTCTACGGTGGTTGGGGATGGTCACCATTCACCTACTTCCTGCCTGGGCCAAGCATCGCTGTTGGGATTGGTGGAGGCTTTGAGTTTTTTGTGGCTATCTTAGCGTTTGGAGCCATCACTGCTATAATCAGGCGATTTACAGGGCGGAGGGAAGAAGAAGATGATGAAGATTTTTAATGATATATACATTTGTTATGATACTTTGAATTATATGTTTCTCTAGTGTCTCTTGTTGTACTGAGCACAAAGAAGTTCCATTTTTGTTTGTATAGCTATAAATGTGATTAGTCATGGACTCATGGGGGGCATCATGTACATTTAAGTGAAACATTGCAGTGAATAAAACTTTAGTCCGTTTGAAATAAATGGAGCAACAATTTTCTTTCTGAGAATTTCTTCAGTTTCTAAGAAGTTTCCTAATATTATGATATTTCTGAGAAAAAATCATCCATATGCTCAGTTATTACTGTGAATTGATAATGATACCCCATCTGTCTCACATCAACGAAAAATTATTCTGTGCAGAGTCCAGACACCAATAAAAATGCATCATGTCTGGTACAGAGCGGTACAGAGCCCTGTGGCTCTGTACCGCTCGGTACCTAAGCGTAAACCGGATGATTCTCCTGTCCGGTTTCCGCACATAATAATCTCTCCACAGCAACAGGCCGCATAACCCCTGTTCTAACTCTCTGTTTTCTCAGCTTAAGCTAGGCAGCTGTACAGGAACTTTTCAGCCTTATGTAACTGTCTATGGGTGGTTTAGTAATTGCTGCACTAGTAGTCTTATGATAAATACTTCTCCATGTAATTACTAGTGAGACATGAAAGTTACTGTTCACTTCACTTCTCTTCGTTTAGTTTTGTAATGGCTGCTATGATAGAATGGATGGCTCCTGCTTCATAGCTCTTTAAATGAATCAAATCGGTTGAGACTATATCGAATTTGAGTGCTAAATTCTAACATGAATTTCTTGTTCAGAAGCTTTGCTCAAATGATCCCAAGACAACCCAGAAACCATCGCAACATTATGGAAAGACAATCATCAGAGTGACATGCTTAATAAATATTGAGAATAATTAGGACAATTTTGGAGTGTTTCATTGAATGGTTGATATAAAATTTCCTCAATCATGAAGCATTTTTTTAACGTTTATATGCCATAATAATGTTAGAATTAAGCGATCTTGGGCTTCTTGGATTCATCTCATTGATGCGCTTGATTCAACTATAAGCAAGTCATATTTGGATATCAATTGGACATCCAAATGTTGCTCTGAAAATTTCAAGTTGGCGTTGGTCCTTTGATTTTGACTTGGATTGGACTGAATTTGGTGTCTTTGGGTTGATCTTCTTGAGATGTTCGATTTGGCTACTCTTGTTTAAATCATAATTTGGATGATTCCAAATTTAATTTTGAAAGCTTCCAATTCATATTTGTATCAAGATTCATGTCCGATTAAAATAATTTCTGTGACATATCAATGATAAATCTTGATACGTCATCATAAAATTATCTTGATCGAGCACGAATCTCGAGGCAAAATCAAATAGGAAACTTCAAAAATTAATTATGGGATCATATGAACTCCGATTTCAGCAAACTTACTGTCGAACTGATCGTCTCGGAAATACGAACCCAACGACACCAAAATCGACTCAATATGAGCCCAAATGAGTCCAAATCAAGGACCCGAAGCGCTGTTGGAAGGTTCAAACCACAATTTGAGTTACCAAACATTTTTCAAATTTGACGACCTTATAGTCAAATCGAGCGGCTCGACGAGACGAATCCAACGAGCTCAAGATCGTCAAATTCTGACATCATTAAGACCTTCAAATGTTTGATGAACAGTTAATGATCAAGGGATTCAATATCGGCCGTCCATTCAAACCACTCCCGATTCGCCCCTGATCTCTCATCTATTTACGGGTCATGCCACTCCAGAAAATCTATAAATAGACCCCTCATTTCTCTTGAGAGGGGACTGAAGCAAGAAGCAAGAAGAAGCAAGAAGAAGAGGAGAAGAGAAGATTATGAGGGAAGAACTCCTCGACCACCGCCAGAGTTCTGCCAGACTCCGAAATTCTGCTGGACTTCAGAACAATGCCAGAGTTCTGCCCAACGCCAGAATTCCGCCTAACCTCAAAGTGACGTGAGAATTCCGCACGACTTTCAAGTAATGTCGGAGTTTCACCAGAACTCCAAGTAACATCGGAGTTCTCCCCGAATATCATCTAACATCGGAGTTCTCCTCGGTCGCCAATTGACGTCCGACTTCTACCCGACGTCGGACTCCGCTCTTCGCCAAATTTCTACCTGATGATGGACTTCTACCAGACACCGTCTTTCTGACCTCCGTCGTCATACTACAATCCTTCTAGCCTCCGTCGCCCGCCGACAACGGTCTTTCTGACTAACGTCGCCCGCTGACTACAGTCCTTCTGGCCTCCGTCGCCCGCCGACAACGGTCCTTCTGACTAACATCGCCTTCCGACTACAGTCCTTCTGGCCTCCGTCGTCCGCCGACAATTATCCTTCTGACTAATGTCGCCCGCCAGTCCTTCTGGCCTCCGTCGCCTGCCAACAACGGTCCTTCTGACTAACGTCGCGCGCCGACTATAGTCCTTCTGGCCTCCGTCGCCCGCCTACAACGATCCTTCTGACTAACGTCGCCCGCCGACTACAATCCTCTAGCCTCCATCGCCCGCCGACAACGATCCTTCTGATTAACATCTCCTGCCGACTATAGTCCTTCCAGCCTCCATCGCCCGCCGACAACAGTCCTTCTGACTTATGTTGCCCACCGACTATAGTCCTTTTGGCCTCCGTCACCCGCCGACTACGGTCCTTCTGACTAACATCGCCTGCCGACTACAGTCCTTCCGACCTCCGTCGCCAGCCGACTACGGTCCTTCCGATTTACGTCGCCCACCGACTACAATCCTTCCGACCTCTGTCGCCAGCCGACTACGGTCCTCCTGACTTACGTCGCCCACCGACTATAGTCCTTCCAACAAAGCGAATAGGACAACAGTGACTCTTTGTATTCACAACATGTAATGTACTTCATATAATGTACATCAACTCCAGGTCTTCTTCCAAGGAAGGGCCTCATCTGTAATCAATTGCAATACTAGTGAATTCATTCAAGCTGGGTTAGTCCCCGTGGTTTTTCCCCCTTTTCAGGGGTTTTCCATGTAAAAATCTTGGTGTCTCCTATGAATGCTACACACTCTCTTATCTGATTGCGTACCGGATTTTCGTACAATACTAAAACGTTAAGCTTTATATTTCTCTACCGCCGCAAATACTCCATGACGCAACAAATCTATTTGTGATATTTCTGACTATTCCCTACTTACTTATCCCGCTCAAGCCATTGTGTCTGCTATTATTGATTTGCTTTTTTTTTTTTTCTCTTTCCCTTTATTCTGCTATCTCTTATTTGCATCATATTATCTCTGATTCTGATAGGCCTGCTTGATGCAAAAAAGAGAGTCCTAATTTTAAAACTTTTTTAGAGAACTTTTATAAAAATGCTGATAAAGTTTGTTGGAAACTGTGTTCTTTTATTTAGAAATATTCATATTAACCCAACTTGCCCTCTTTGCAATTTTTGCTCATGAATTTTTTGAGATCGCTCTTGATAATCTTAAAATTTCTTATTTTGGTCATTATTCTATATTTCTTATTTCCTGCCTTCTTTAGGGCCTGTTTGGTATGCGGTTTTGAGGTGGATTTGAGGCGAAATCCAGCAAACGGCCTAAAATGCAAAACCAAATCTCACGGAAAATGAAAGCGTCTGTAGACGAAAAATTCCGCCTTTTCGTCGTAAATTCCGGATTCCCGAAATCCTCTCGTTCGGTGGATTTCCAAAATCCACTGGCTCTATTGGTGCGGGAAGGAAGAAACTCCGTCCAAATCTTTCAACCTCCTTAAATCCTGGATGGAATAGCCAAACAGACACATAGGATTTATCATGAAGGTTACCAAGTAGTTTTCAAGATTTAACCCCCTAAGGATTTCATAAATCCGGATTTGGAGGATTTATGATTCGGATTTATGAAATCCTATTTAAATGAAATCCTAGATTCTACCCAACAGCTCCTTAAGGTCATTTTTGTACTTCTTCTTTTTCCAAAAAAAACTTGCATCTTTCTTTGGTTCGATCTACATATACTTAAGGAAAGAAACCATAGATTGCTCCCAATCCTAATAATCTTCAGTATGTAAGTGTTTGTCACTCCCATTGTTATGGTGGATGTTTTGGCGATCATGCCAAAACATAGCTGCTGAGACAAAGCTCTGTTACCACTTCGTTTAGAAACCTGTGATACAAAGGAAAGAAGATGAATCGAGAGTAACCTTTGTATATTCTTAAGTGTTAACTCGAAGCCCATTAGTTCAGTAATGAAGTAAAGGATTAAAAGTTGAAGCAGATGGTTGTCCTGCTCTACAAGGTTTATCTAGAAATATACTTAAAATGATCAACTAACGGTCCTATTCCGATGAAATTCGATTCTGCTCTCTTCTACCTTCCGCCACCTCTCCCTTCCTTTCCTCGCCAACGAGCCCTCGATTCCCTCCTTTTCTCTGCCATTTCTTCCTCATCCTCTGTCCTCCAACTCCGTCAAATCCACGCGCTCCTCCACCGCTTCGGTCTCCATGCCAGCAGCTTCCTCGTCGCCAAGCTACTACGCCGCCTAACTGACCTGGGAATTCTCCCACCTAACCCTTATCCCTCCCTGGTCTTTTCCCAAGTTCCTTCTCCCAACTCCTTTCTCTGGACTGCCTTCATCCGTTCCCACTCCTCCACACTTCCTTCTGCTTCAGCCGATGCCGATTCTCCCCTCTCAGTCTACTCGCTCATGCGGCGCCAATTCCCACCGCCTCCTCCCCTCACCTTCACATTCTCTGCTCTTCTCAAGTCTGCCCAATCTCTTTCCGACGGTATCCAGATTCACGCTCAAACCATCTCCATCGGCGGCTTCGACAGTGACCTTTTCGTCCTCAACACTCTAACTGACATGTATATTCGCTCTGGTCATGTAATTCATGCCCGCCAGGTGTTCGACGAAATGCCTGTTAGAGATGTGCTTTCCTGGACTTCGCTTATTGTTGCTTACAGTAGAAATGGAGATATGAATTCTGCTGCTGGACTCTTCCATTGTTCTCCGGAGAAGGATGTGGTCTCTTGGACTGCAATGGTTAGTGGGTATTCCCAAAACTCCCAGCCAAGGGAGGCTTTGGCTGTTTTTAAGAAAATGCAGGAAGGCGGTGTGGCATTTGATGATATCTTATTGGTTAGTGTGATCAATGCGTGTGCCCAGTTGGGCACATGTAACTATGCCTCGTGGATTCGTCAGGTTGTTGATCAAGCCGGAATTCAATTAAATGTATTTGTTGGGTCGGCATTGATTGATATGTATGGTAAATGTGGACTCATTGATGATGCCCAGCAGGTGTTTGCTGAGATGTCTGAAAAGGATGTTTATTCTTACAGCGCAATGATTTCAGGTCTTGCAGCGCATGGTAGGGCTGATGAAGCAATTCATTTGTTTGAGGTGATGGTGAGAAGCACAACAGTGCGGCCCAATCGGGTCACCTTCGTTGGGGTGCTCACAGCCTGCAGTCATGCAGGTTTTGTTGAGAAGGGTCGCTGCTACTTTTCTCTAATGATGAATGAGTATAGAATCACTCCAGATCCTGACCATTATACTTGCATGGTTGACTTGCTTGGCCGTGCCGGGCTTGTGGAGGAAGCACTTAAGCTTGTTCAGACCATGCCCATTGAATCTAATGGGGCAGTTTGGGGTGCATTGCTTGGTGCTTGCAGGATCCATGTCAAGCCTGAAATCGCTAAGATAGCTTCAGAACATATCTTCAGACTTGAACCTGATTCTATTGGAAATTACATTGTGCTCTCAAACATCTATGCTTCTGCTGGAATGTTGGATGAAGTGTCCAATATAAGAAAAATGATAAGGGGAAGGGGGCTGAGGAAGAACCCTGCATCTAGCTGGATGGAGTCTGGTGATGGTGTTATCCATGAGTTCTTCGCAGGTGATGATTTGCATCCAAGATCGAAGGAGATAAAAGAAGTAATAGAATATCTGCTACAGAGCTTGAGGTTGGTTGGTTATGTGCCTGTGCTGAGCTCAATTGTTTATGATATGAGTGATAATGAAAAGGAGAGGATTCTGAAGGGCCATAGTGAGAAGCTTGCATTGGGCTTTGGAGTGCTAACAACTGTTGTTAGAGGCGTAATAAGAATTATGAAAAATATCAGAATCTGTGAAGACTGCCATCTGGTTATGAAGATGGCATCTGGGGCTATTGAAAGAGATATTATTGTTAGAGATAGCTTGAGATTCCACCATTTTAAGAATGGACTTTGCTCTTGTCGTGATTTCTGGTGATCATCAACTGTGAATCACTAGCTGAATTATTGTATGATAATAGTAACTTTTTTTGTTAAGAGGGTTTCTATTTGAATGGGGGAGACTGGAGAGGAATTATTTAATGCTATTTGAAGTTCAATGAGATGAGAAATAACTTATGTAAATTCTTGATGGAATAAAGCAGAAATTTTTGAACTGTTGGTTTTATATGACATGCTTGATATATGATGAAGAAAATTATCATTAGCAGGAGCATAATGAGCATCGTTTGTTCTGTAGATAATCCTAATCTTGATTAAAGCATTCCTTTTTTTTGTGAGTAAATGGTGGTGATTGTCTCATTAGTAGTAAAGCCTCTAATCATCATAATAGAATGTTATAAGGGCATTGCTATCAACAGATAAAAATTTCAGTAGGAGAATTAGTTCTGAAAATGTTTAATGCCTCCTAAATTAATCCCATCAAAATAGTCAAAGTTAGCCCTCTATTTTTAAATGAAACAAATATTCTTTTTATAAGCCAGATTTTTTCCTTTTGCAAGGAATGACTTGCAAATTAAGAGTGAATTGTCTAGAAAATTTTTTCATCAATTGACATATTGACTTCATAAAAGATTGAAATTATAATTAAATAGATTTTACCTGTTTCATGGCCCTGAGAGGAGGTATAAGTTTACATCCAAAGGAGCGGTCACTCCTTATAAAAATTTTTAATATAATTTTGCATTATTAAGTTTTTTGAAGGTTTAAATACATATTTTTTGTATAACGCAAGTTTTCACATCTGAAAATAGCAAGCAACTAATACACAATAAAAACATTGTCTTGATCAAGAAAAAATATCATTGCATATTAAAATTGGAAACTTTTGTAATTACAAACCTATAGTAGAATTGAACTTCTTAATGAGAAAAACTAACACCAAAAAATAATTTGATCCGAGTTTAAATGAGGCAAGATTGAACACTTAAAGTGTAATAAACAGCAACAGAACATTAATTAGATGACTAAATGATCTCTAAATCTCTCATGCTTACAGTCATTAAGATATTTAAATGCTAAAAAAATAATATATAGTAGAGGGATCCAATATGGGCAGTTTGATGAAGTGATTTAGACTTTGGCTTTATATATGGGTATGTCATTCATAAAAAAAATTATAAATAGGCTCTTATTCTGTATATGAGGGGCAGCTTGGACTCTTGGCTTAACATTCGAAAGAGTTCAAAGACTTGAAGAATTGTGGAGCACCTTCGCCAAATATTGCCTAACGGTCGCATTCAAACCACTGATGTTTTAATACGATCCTTCAACAACCATTCCTTAAATATAATCATTTGATCATCATCACCCAACTATAATCCTCTAACCATCATCTCCTAATTATGATCCTTCAACCATCATTATCCAACTACGGTCCTTTAATCATTATCACATGACTATGATCCTTCAATCACTGTGTCCTACTACGACCCTCCAATCACTGTTGTTCAACTAGAGCCCTCTAACAACTGTTGTCCAACTACAATCCTTCAGTCATTATCACCTAACAATGGTCCTCTAACTACCTTTGCCTAATTATAGCCCTCTGAGCACATTCGCCTAAATACAACCCTCCGACCACCTTCCTCTGACTTTGATTCTTCCAACATTGTCCCTCGACTATGGTCTTTTGACCACCATTGATCAACTCTACGATCTTGCCAACACTTCATGTACTACAATACTCAAACCATTGTCGCTTGTATATGACTACAGCACCGTTGTAAATAATCAATAATGTGAAATAAATTTTTAAAAAAAATATATATGAATTTTTTTTAATGGAGCGCTTTAGCAGCTAATCTGATGAGCACTATGCGGCGTAGGACCATGAACAATATAATTTAATATTATATATTATATATATAATTAATAATTAATATATATATATATATATATATATATAAATAATATATATTATTATATATATTATATATATATATATATAATATATATATATATATATATATTTATAATATATTATATATATATAACTTCCTTTTATAACTCCACCGACTCCATAATAATTGATTGCTTACCAGGAAGAAATTAAAACACAGGAGAAGAAGAGAGATAAAGCCTTTAGATCATATTCATTAGTCATCCTATTGGACAGATTTTGTTCTAT